TTTTTTCTTTGGGTTTTTGGGTATTTGATGTTTTCTTTTCCCCTTGGCCTTGTGTGTGTGCGCTTATGGTTCTGCTTCAAATCATGTTTGTAGGTTTACGGCTTGTCTTGGTTTGTCATGTTAACAGCACTTCTTGTCTTAAAGGTATCTCTCTCTCTCTCTCTCTCTCTCTCTCTCTCTCTCCTCTCTCCTTCTGTCTCCCTCTCCCTCTCTCTCTCTCTGTCTTAAAATCATGTTATTTTGCTTGAACCTGAACTGGAGAAGTTGCTATTATTCAATAGAACTTTTGTCAAGCCTTTAGATTCTCATTTATTTGATATTTCCCTACGAATTAAAACGAGTGCATTCATCTTTATGAACTTATCTATGCAACAGATGGTGTCAATGGGGAGAAGAAAATTCGGCACCGATTTTCAGCTTATGTTTAGGATTTTGAAAGCACTTCTGTTCCTTGGGTTCGTGTCTGTCATGACTGTACTGTTTGTGGTATTAAACCTTGCCGTCAGCGATTTATTTGCTGCTATCCTGGCTTTCATGCCCACTGGCTGGGCCCTTATTCTGGTGAGCATATACATATAACTATAATAAATGTATTCAAAATATGTAACACACCAATTAAAATACCGAACTATATATAACTATAAATGTATTCCGATCAAAATATGCTGCAGATTGCTCAAGCGTGCAGACCTTGTCTGAAGGGTATCGGAATCTGGGATTCAGTAAGGGAGTTGTCGAGAGCATATGAAGCTATAATGGGGCTTGTTATATTCACACCTGTCGTTTTACTATCTTGGTTCCCGTTTGTATCCGAATTCCAAACACGGCTGCTGTTTAACCAAGCGTTCAGTCGAGGCCTCCAGATTTCCATGATCTTGGCTGGGAAGAAGGATAAGACATCTTCAAACTGATTTTTTTTTTAATCCCTCATTTTTTCTCTGTGGAAATTCTTGTGCTATTGTTTAGATGATAGTCAATGTGAACGAATATACATATATCTTAAATATCTGCAGCAGTAGTAGAGCTTTCAGAATTTTTGGACTGGAAAAAGTGTACAAATTTTTAATGTCTTAACATGAAATGTCATTAAAGCCATTGAAGACAGCTGCGCAATGCGTTTTCATCTATAAATGTGTTGGGTACATTGGTGTTAATGGAAACACATTCCCATTTAAATGACAATCAAATGTTGCCAATCATTTCTCTACCATGTTGTCTTCTTAGTTGAGTTTTTTTTTTTTTTT